CGTGCCGCGGAGCGGCTGGGCCAGTGAGCCATGGCCGCTGAGCCTGCGCGTCCGGAGGCTGTGCTCCGCAACGGGAGAGGCCACAACAGCGAGAGGCCCGCGTACCGCAAAAAAAAAAAAAAAACTGAATTCCTGATTTCCTACCTGTCCCTGACCTTCTCCTGCCCCCTTCCTCATTTCAGGAAATGGAAACTCCACACTCCCAGCTGCTCAGGCCAGAAAGCCTTCGGGTCATCCTCAACTCCTTTTCCCCCTCACACAACATGTCTAGTCCATCAGCAGAATGCATCTAGAATCTGCCCTCTTCTCACCATCTCCACTGCCACTTCCCTGAGTTAAGGCATCATCATCTCATGCCTAAATTATTGTAACAGCCTCCCAACCTGTCTCCCTGCTTCCACCCTTCACCTTCCAGTCTCTTCTCAACACCCCAACTAGAGTGATCCTGTTAAACGCTGAGTCACAGCACATGATGCCTCTGCTCTAAGCCCTTCAGTGGCTCCCCATCTCATCCAGGGTCAAAGCGCAAGTCCTTCAGGGGCCTGTCACCCTCCGACCTCATTCCCTGAGACCTCTCACTCACTCTGCTTTACCACATTGCTATCTGCTCCTGCCTCGGGCCCTGGGAGTTGCTCTTCTCTCTGCTCGGAGCCCTATTCCCCTGATTTCCATAGGGCTTACTCCCTCAGGCCTTCAGGTTCTGCTCACATGTCACCCTGTTATGCCGGCCCTCCCTGACCACCTCCTCTAAAAGGACAACCCCCACCCCACAGCATGCTTTATCCTCGTCACCCTGCTTTACTATTCTTCTCAGCACTTACCACTCCCTGGCTTGTTACATATTTACTTACTTGTTTATTTTTGTCTCTTCTTATTAGAATGTCAGCTCCTTGAGGGCTTTGATTTCTCACTGCTGTATCTCCAGTGCTCTGAATAGTTTCTGGCACATAATAGGTGCTCAGTAAACATTTGTGAGATAAGTGGAGGGGCAGATGTGCAGCTGGGCAGACCCACAATGAAGTCGGTGTCAGGCTGGAGGGCAGCATGTGTACTGGGAGTGGGTGCTGTGGAGGATGGGCTCTCATGCAGAGATTGGGGGAGAGCAAGCTCACTGCCCCTGGCCCAGCCTCGGTGCCCTGCACAGGTTCAACCGGGCAGCACTCATCAACGCGGGCTTTCTGGAGAGCAGCAACAGCACAGACTACATCGCCATGCACGACGTGGACCTGCTCCCTATCAATGAGGAGCTGGACTATGGCTTCCCAGAGACCGGGCCCTTCCATGTGGCCTCCCCGGAGCTCCACCCGCTCTACCACTACAAGACCTACGTCGGTGGCATCCTGCTGCTTTCCAAGCAGCACTACCAGCTGGTGAGGCCTGGTGCACCTACTCTGCTGAGAGCCAGGGAGCACCCACCTGGATGGGGGCAGTGGCAAGAGGAGCAGCATTTCTAGGGCCCAGCAGATGGAGGGTCCTGCTTGGGGAGCCCAGGAGCAGCCAGAGGCATGAGAGGAGCAGGACCAAACAAGCCAGTTAGGGAGGGTTCTGCCACAGCAACAGAACCCCTGTGCAAACTGGCTTCAGAAGCCCTGGGGTTCATTGCCTCTCAAAATGGAAAAGTCTGGGTGGGGCTGTCTTGCCCAGCCTCTCAGATGATGTCACCCGGACACCATTTCACCTTCCATCTCTCAGCTCTGCCTTCTCTAGACTGGCTTTATTTTCAGACGTTCAGGATGCAAGGTGGTGGTTGTAGCTGCAACCTGCATCCGTCTAGGCCCAAGTCCAGTGGAAAATGGAGCTGCCCGTTTCCAACAGCCCAGACAGGAGACCGCAGCTGCCCCATGCTGCCTCTTGATTGGCCTGGCTTGAGTCACAGGTCTATCCCTGAATCAGTCACTGTGGTAGGGGGTGGGAGTGGGTGGTGGGGTGGGAAGCTGGGGAGGAGGAGGAAAGGGGGGCCTGGGCTGGCCCAGCTTGGGCTAGGGACTCCCAAGTGGTAGGAGACCAAAGAGCACCCTGGGAGGATGGGGCAAGTGACATTGCTTGTCTTTGTGTCAGTGCAACGGGATGTCCAACCGCTTCTGGGGCTGGGGCCGTGAGGACGACGAGTTCTACCGGCGCATCAAAGGAGCCGGGCTCCAGGTAATGCTCCCCCGCCGCCCCACCTCTTCAGCCATCATGGCTGCCCTGAGGTTCCTCTCTGCCCTCAGATGAAGTTCCTGGGGCTGGGAGATGGCACCCCTGGCTCTAATCCCAGCCCTGCCCCCGATTAGCACACCTCTCCTGAAGAATGGGAATGCAGGCCCCTGCCTGTGGGCTATGGCAGGCAGTGGGACCCCAGAGGACTAGTGGTGAGGGCCAGGGCTCCAGGAGAGACAGCCTGATCCAACTTCCTTTGGTCTCTTTAGCTTTTCCGCCCCTCGGGAATCACAACTGGGTACAAGACATTTCGCCACCTGCATGACCCAGCCTGGAGGAAGAGGGACCAGAAGCGCATCGCGGCTCAAAAACAGGTACTGGCTGGTCCCTTGATTGGGGATGGATAGGTGGTATATGGGGAACCACCAGGCTCAAGCATTTCACCAAGTTCTCCTTGGGCCCAAGTGGTCCCATCCTCCCCTGCTTGGCCCAGGTCAGTTGTTGGCATTCTTCTTGGGCACCATGCCCTCCTCTGGTGGCTGCCATGGCCCCTGGGCTCTGTGGGTCAGCCGAGACCTCAGGGTCCACGCAGGCTGTGTGTGTGGCAGGGGAGTGGGGATGGGACTCAGCTGAAGGTGCCAGAATCCTAGGCAGACCTGGGATACAGGAGTCCCCGTCCCTCAAATAGCCTCTTCTCTAGGAGCCAGATTAGTTCAACTGGAAAACCCCTGCTGTCCTGCTGACGAGGATGTGTAGCCATGGGCGAGAGACTTCCCATCTCTGAGCTTCCCTTTTCCCTCTCTTCTGTGGGGACCACAGGACCTCTGATGACAAGGTCGTGGGAGACCAGTGGACAGCTGGCACCCACAAAGCCCTGAGTACATGCTCTCCCCCTTTTCTTCCCAGGAGCAGTTCAGGGTGGACCGGGAGGGAGGCCTGAGCACTGTGAAGTACCGCGTGGATTCCCGTACAGCCCTGTCTGTGGGCGGGGCCCCCTGCACCGTTCTCAACATCATGTTGGACTGTGACAAGGCTGCCACCCCCTGGTGCACATTCAGCTGAGTTGGCTGGACAGCAAAGAAGCCTGTGCCTACAGGCCATGCTGCTACTCAAGCCCAGGACAAAGCCTCAGGCCCTGGGCCCAGCTCCAATAGGACGTGGAGTGGCCTGAAGCAGTGGACAGCAAGCCATGTGTTTGCAGCAGCCCGGCCCCCAGAGGCAGGCTTGAGCCAGGAGAGGACACATGCAGGGTGCCTGGGACACTGCCAGCAATAAACAGTGATGGAGAGAGGCTGGGACATGGTTTCCAACTGAGACTGTCCACTCTGCCTTCCTGCTTGCCCTGCCCTACCCTCCTTTGTGTGCTGACATCTGCAAAATCTTGTTCCTTCTCCTGGACTGCCAGGCCACTCGTGGGTGGCAAGGGCCATCAGGAGGGTTAAAACTGCAGAGACCAGTGTGCAAGCCCCACAGAAAGGGAGCAGCTGAGACCAGCTCTAGCTGGTTGTCACCCTGAAGGAGTGTGGGCCTGGTGTTGCCAGATCTTCTGATTTTTCAAAAGAAAGTAGAATTCTGGATTCTTGAGTGAAATTGGTTAATTTTAAAATGATAGCAACTAATTCAAACTTTTAACAAATATGGTAAGCCAAACCTAATGTGTTTTGAACCACCAGTTTGTCACCTGTGGCTGAGGGGAAGGGGATGGGGCAAAAGATGACGCTTCTCTTAGTTATAAGCTGGCAAGGAGTTGGGGCAGGGCTAGGGAAGACAAGGCCAGGCGAAGCTCAGGTGGGAGAGAACCCCAAGGCACAAGGTCCCTACTCCCTCCCTCAGCACTCCAGGCTTTTGCTGCCCTTATGGACGGTCTGACCACTGCCAGGCTCTGGTGGGCTCCGACTGGAAGGGGTGCTTCATCCTGCCTCACTGAGATGGACAGAAATAGATTGCAGGACTGGACTTAGGGTAGGCAGGCTGCATCTGCAAAGACTCACTGGGTCATGGCTCAGGGAGGGAAGACCATGTTTCTGAGGTGGGAGGAAGATGAGAAGTAGGAGAACCCCTCGAGTATTCCCACAGCACGAGGGGAGATTACCAGTGGTCACCAAATGCCACGGAGAGGTGAGGGAGGGGAGCCAAGGGAGCTGGTGGAACTGGGGAGTCATCTTGGAGGAACCATCTGGAGGTAAGCCCAGGGCCAATGAGAGAGGGAAGTGATGGGCCCTGAAAGGTAATTCACTCCTTCAGGGCATTTGACTGCCAAAGATTTGGGGCAGGAGTCAGAGGAGACTGGGACCAGTTACGGTTAGTTTGTTTAACAATAAATAGGACACGTGAAGTGCAAGAGGAAGGACTGAGGTCCCCGATTTCAGGAGGGTAGAATTCAGCAGCTCTGCTCCAAAAAGACTCCTCCAAGGATGATCTTAGGGCTGCTGTGTGCAGTTGTGTGGGTTGTGCACTGTACAACCTGAGCATAAACCAAGAGGTTTAAGCAAAGATGAGTGGAGGAAGTGAAGAGCTTCAGGTTCCATGTAACTATTCAAACTTATAAGAGAGGGTCCTTGGGATCCTAAATTGACCTCGCCCAGCAGTTCAGTTTTACTCTCTACGGTGAAGGGCGAACAGACCTTGATTACAGTGCAAGGGTATTCAAGGGACTTTCTCAACTTGAGGCCCAGGAGAGGGGAATGGTGTACTTTCTGTATGCTGGTCTCCTGAACAACCCTGACTGTCATCTTGGACTTAGAAAACATGAAGCCTCTTGGAGTTGGTGGGAATACATGTGAAAACGCCTCCAGCTCTGTACTCACCTGGTAGGTATGAAGACCAAAAAGATGGGGGATTCCTTCCTTTCCATCTGCACTGGGACTTGGGATGAGCAGGAGAAAAGCAGGATCAGCCAGCTCAGCCTGGGCTGGGGTGCATTTCTAACCCTACGCTCTCACACTCCCCCACGGCCGCTGCCAACACCTCCATCATCCAAATACCAGAAGGCACCCCAGGCCAGGCCTGGGGCAGCTTGAATCTTCAGCCCCCATCACTCCCCAGCACGGGCCTCCCCCAAACCACTCCAGGAGAGTGGGAGAAGGCTGAGAGGTGGTCAGTAATGGGAAGAAGCAGACAGCTCTTCTGCCTCCTCAGCACCCAGGCTGCTTCTCTGTGGCATGGAACAAATGTCGCTGCCTTGCTGGTCAGCGTGTGGATGCCACGAACCCAGGATATAGGAGCACCTGGCACACGCTCGGCCAATGTGGTTGTAATGATAACAACCAGCACTTGTTGATCATTCACATATACAAAATTTAATACATTGCTTTATTTCATGTAGGCCTTCACCTAAGAGCTAGGCCTTATTTATTGACCTGTTTTTTTAATTTATTTATTATTTTTGGCTGTGTTGGGTCTTTGTTGCTGCCCACGGGCTTTCTCTAGCTGCGGTGAGCGGGGGCTATTCTTCGTTGTGGTGCGCACGCTTCTCATTGAAGTGGCTTCTCGTTGCGGAGCACAGGCTCTAGGCACGTGGGCTCAGTAGTTGTGGCTTGCGGGCTCTAGAGCACAGACAGTAGTTGTGGCGCACAGGCTTAGTTGCTCCACGGCATGTGGGATCTTCCCGGACCATGGCTCGCACCCGTGTCCCCTGAATTGGCAGGCAGATTCTTAACCACTATGCCACCAGGGAAGTCCTATTAACCTGTTTTATAGATGAAGACGGTGAAGCACAGAAAGGTAAGAAACTTGCCCAAGGACACAAAGCTGATAAGTAGTGGAGCTTGGGATTTGGACCCCCAGAATCTGCCTTCTGAGCAGAAGAAAACATAGGAGAAAATCTAGGTGATGTTTGGTTTGGCAGTAAGTTTTTAGATACAATACCAAAAATAAGATCCATGAAAGAAATAATTGATGTTAGATTTTATTAAAACTTAAAACTTCTACTCTGTGAAAGCAACTGTTAAGAGAATGAAAAGACAAGCCACAGACTAGAAAAAAAAACTTTGTAAAACATATATCTGATAAAGGAGTTGTGCCCAAAATATACAAAGAATCTTAAAATTCAATAAGACAACAAAAATCCAAGTGAAAAAATGCGCAAAAGATCTGAACAGACACTTCAACAATGAAGATATACAGATGGCAAATAAGCATATGAAAGATGCTCAACATGATTTGTCACTAGGGAATTGCAAATTAAAACAACAATGACACACCACTACATACCTGCTAGAATGGCTAAAATCTGAAAAACTAACAATACCAAATGCTGGTGAGGATATAGAGCAAAGGGAAGCATTATCATTGGTGAGAATGCAAAATGATACATCCACTTTGGAAGATGGTATGGTAGTTTCATACAAAGCTGAACATAATCATGCCATATGATTCAGCAATCTCCTAGGTATTTACCCAATTGATTTGAAAATTTGTCCTCACAAAAACCTGTATGTGAATGTTTATAGCAGATTTATTCGTAATCACTAAGTACAAGAAGTGACCAAGATTACCTTCAATAGGTGAATGGATAAACAAACTAGTGGTACATTTATACAATGGAACATTATTCAGCACTAAGAAGAAATGAGCTACCAAGTCATAAAAAGACATGGAAGAACCTTAAATACATGTTGCTGAGTGAAAGAAGCCAGTCTAAAAAAGCTATATAGGGAATTCCCTGGTGGTCCACTGGTTAGGACCCCGCTCTCACTGCCAAGGGCCCGGGTTCGATCCCTGGTCAGGGAACTTAAATCCCATAAGATATGTGACATGGCCACGAAAATTTAAAACAAACTTTAAAAACTGTATAGTATATGATTCCACGTATAGGGCATTCTGGAAAAGGCAAAACTATAGAGATAGTAAAACTATAGAGACAGTGGTTGCCAAAGGTTTGGGGAGAGGGAAGGAATGTTGAATAGATAAAGCACAAGAGATATTTAGGGTGGTGAAATTACTCTGTGTGTAATGGTGCACACAGGGTAGTTGATGTGCATGACATTATGCATTTGTTAAAACCCACCAAACTTAGCATTTTAGAGTTTACATTAAGCTTAATTATACAGAGACATACCTGTATACACAGGTATCACACACACATATATTTCCTTGTTCTGTCAGCTGAGAGGACCTAGCAGCAATGACACTCCAGGGAAATGAGCACAACTAGTGCCCAGATCTTGGTTTCAAATACCATCCTCCAATGAAAGGAACCATGGCTCCTTAGACAAATGGTTGAGTCAAGGACTGGGGTGGAAAATATACAAGATGAGTCTGGAGCATCTTTTAGTTCCAGAAAGTAAGGAAATGTTTTTTAAAAGTTGATGGGGGGCACTTCCCTAGTGGCGCAGTTGTTGAGAGTCCGCCTACCAATGCAGGGGACATGGGTTCGTGCCCCGGTCTGGGAGGATCCCGCATGCCGCGGAGCGGCTGGGCCTGTGAGCCATGGCTGCTGAGCCTGCACGTCCGGAGCCTGTGCTCCGCAACGGGACAGGCCGCAACAGTGAGAGGCCCGCGTACCGCGAAAAAGAAAAAAAAAAAAAAAACGTTGATGGGGGTATTGTCAAAGGAACACAGGAGCCAAATTAAAGAGCTCTCAATGGCCAAAACTGGAACAATTTGAGAAAAAAAAAAAAGAAAAAAGAAAGTAATATTGGGTTATAACCCAATGCATAAAATAAAAATACATGAATCCATACTGATAAATATCAATAAATAAGTGGGGGAGAAGAGACAAATGTCTTATGCAGAATTATTCCAGATAATTTATGATACTCTGCCCTCAAGGAAGGGGAGCATAACTCCCCACTCCTTACCTGTCAACTGCGTATAGTGACTTCCTTCCAAAGAGGACAGTGTGGAAAGGGGGTGAGGTGGGGAGAGTAACTGTACAATGGAAAAACGTGACAAACACTACCCCAGCCAGGTGATCAAGGACAACATCGACAGTGATAAATCATCTTGATAGTATGTACCCTTGATATGTTGTGATGAAAATGATACTTTATGTCTGTGGTCTTCTTCCCCCAAATCCATAACCCCAGTCTAATCATATGAAAAACAGCAGCCAAATTTCT